ATAATATATATATATATATATATATATATATATATACACCTTGCTACGTGTACTGTGTTAGGCTAACCGAGACTTGTCATTTGCACTTATATATTGTTGCGTTTTTGTTAGTTTTGACTGCTTTTATTGTCCTCATTTGTAAGTCGCTTTGGATAAAAGTGTCTGCTAAATGACTAAATGTAAATGTAAATGTATACTTCAGGTACACTTGAAATACCTTGCATTTAAAGACCATCATTATTAAAAGATTATACAATCCTCATCGATAGTGACATTAAAACACATTTGAGGCTTAATATTAAGAAATGTGCATTGCACACAAGTAATGCTCCAAATAAAGTGTAATTATATATTTTTTATATGTGAGCAATATATGTCATTAAATGCGTTAACATATTTAAACTACTTAGTATGAAATAAATGTATTTTACATTTTTTCCAAGGGTCTTCTCCATTCTCTACGCTCTTCATTTTAACATTTAATCTGTCTGTAGTTTGTTTTTAGTGAGTTACATTTAATATACAGACATAATCTCTTTTGTGGCAGTGTCAACTTCTTTCATTCTTCTAAAATAACATTGCTTGTATCTTTGTGAAAAAGAAGTGTGCTTGTATTGAATGTGCACTTGTAGTGTACTTTAAATCTTAAAAAGTATATTTAAAAAACTGTACTTGGAGATAATATAATTAATATAAAGCCATTTAAGTGTACTTAAAGAGAGCTCACTTTTGTGTACTTTGTAATGTCAGATTAACATATTTTAACATTTTACAATGCTTTCATTATGTTTTATGTATCTTTTGTCATGCTTCAAAGAAGTACACTTATTTGTGACTAACATGCTAAAGCACATGTAAAGCACTTGATTATAATTGTAACTGTAGAGTGTTATTTGATATTACATTTGAAGTTATTACATTGTAAATGTAATGAATTTCAATATTACAAATATGTAATAACATATATTTTAATGCATGACTTTCAATAGAAATTGCATTAAAGCATATTTTAGTTTGTCATAAATACTTGTTGTTATATTTAACAGTACACTTTGGCAGACAATGTAAGTAATTATACATTTACATACACTGATGTACTTAAGTCTGAAAGTGGGTAAAGAAAAGCACTCTAAATTTCAGCTAATTGCATTCAATATAAATCTAAATGGTAATTGATTTCCATTTAATTGCAAATTACATGCAATTAATTGTCCAACAATTACATTCAGTTCACACAAGCATATTATTTTAAAGCTTAGTATTTCCGTAATAAGTACTCTTTTTTTTTTAAAGTATGCAAAAGTGTACTTCTTTATCACAAGGGTTTACTTTAAATAGAAATGTTGAGTGAATTTGGATAATTTATTGCTCTCTTAGGCCATGTTAGAAAAAGTTATGGACCAAACCGACAGTACCTTAGCAACTTTTCCGTCCGCCACGACACGTTTTCTCTGTTCTAATGCACACAATGGGAAAATCATATCATATATGGTTAATCACATAATGATTAATCAGTTTTGCCTAATATGTATGAGTGACATCTATCACACGGTTAGCTTAATGGCAAACTCTGTTGGAGTCAGTCGTGAGTAAATGCTTGAGAGGTCTGGTTTCAGTGAGGATGCTGCCTATACAGTCAAGCAGTTCAATTTAGGTTTTAGAACAGAGCTAATGTCTTCATATTAAAGAAGTGCTGTTGAAAACAATGCTCAAAAGCATTACGATGGCTTGCCTT